TTTTTTTTTTTTTTTTGAAACAGCCCTTTTAAAAACCCAAATTAACAATACGAAAGAAGTGGCGAAAAGATCTAACCTTGCTGGCACTTTGCGAGTGTCTCTCATCTGTGGAAATGAAAGCCTGCCCTGAGCACAAGGCCTTTTCTACCTCGCAAGAGATAAAATGACCTCACTGCTGGCATCCTAGCCAGAGCTAAGAAGATGGACCCCTACCTTATCAGGTAGCACATTTGCATGTAGATCCAAAAAATTTAGGAGCCACTCAAATATTTCAAACCAAATGAAATGTATTTACAATAAGATTTTAAGTTAAAAACACTTTCAGAAGATGTTTAAGAGACACTACCTCATTTAATACGATCTGTTTCCAATCCTCAAACATGAAAGTAGGACCTACGGGGAAAAGCACACTTCACTCACATTTATGGAAAGTGTATGGGCGTTAAGAGTAGGTTTTATAGAACAGTTTGCTCACTAAGAGAAATAAGAAACATGGATTGCAAAGGATATCTCATATCCTTCATGTTTCAATCTAAAGTAGCATACAAGGCTACTTATTTTCTCTACTAATGCCCAGATAGAAATTAAACAACTCTCTGAATCAAAATGGCGAAACCCAAACTGTTGAGATGATCATCATGTGATGATAACATAAGGTAAGTCTGGTAGGCATTCAGAATTTCACAGTAAGAGTGATGACTATATGTAATGATAAGTCAGTAAGTTATGCTGGCTAAGTATCAGTTATCTCAAAAATGCTTATAACCTGGTAGAAAAGTCTGCCATTGTATAGATGTAAGGAAATGTGTTGAAGACAGGAACGCCACACCTGAAACTCTGCTTGCATAACCACCATTTCCAAAGGTCTTTTTCTCTAAGCTTACCCAAACTGCTCAGCAATAACCATAGTATTTAAAACTGTGCTGGTGATGTTAAACAAGAAACTTTACATTGTACTAAGAACTGCATAAGTTCTTAATGGAACAATATTTTTGACCAGGCTTTTAAAAAAATCAACTCAGGAAATATACGCCTACTCTCACCAAAAGCACATTGAGAAAAATACAAGCGCCTCTCTAAGGGTGAGCACAGTTCCATTTTTAACATCTCACCTGAATGAATTCCTCTTGCAACTGTGATATACAACACAACACACACCAATCTTAAGATTAGTAATGGCAGAACTTAAATATTTACTTCAAAGAAGTGTAAAATTCTTGAACACTTTGGCAGCAAAGAAAGCTGTCAAATGGGAAAACTAGAATTTCAAGCAAAGCTTAATGACCATAGTGTAGAGGAAACCACATTAAACATAATTTATACTCCATACCATAAAACACAAATATATTCAAAATAAATGAACATAAATGAAGGATGTTAGGGGGATATTTCTTTGTTCCCTTTCTTTATGAGAACAGTCTTGGGACAATATTAAATAAAAGAAAAATAATTTAAACAGATAACATATTCTACACTGAAACAAAGAATGCAGATTTACAGGGCCAAAGATTAAAATGGAAATGAACAAAGTGAAGTTTCATCTTCCAACGGTATTGATTTTAATTTTCACTGGTGATTTATCAGTATGTGCATTGTGACAAAGATGATGAAAATTTAAATTACAAAAACCAAAGAGATTGAAACAAATTAAAGAGAAAAAGAATCAAGGTAACTAATGTTATTCTTCAAAAATTAAAACTGTTCAATATGTAACTCAAACCATCATTCTTCAGAAAAGAATATATATATATATATATATATATAAAAACACTATTTATTGTACCATGCTGTATTATTTTAAGACAGAGTATTAAAAAAAACATTCGTGGTATAAGGATAAAGTCTGTAGTTTATTTAGAATTTGAAAAGCAACAAAATTTCTCCGATTACTTATCTAGCTGAAAAGAAATTGTAGTTACTGGAATTAGTAAACACTTTTGGTTTATAAAATTGTAATGAGCAATGTTCGTTAAAGAATAACTCAAGATAAAATAAGCAATTAAAATGCCCATTTCTTTAGTTTCTCTGGACACTAATTATCCAATCTATCAAGAGTCTGGAAAGAGGATTAAACCAGGTTTTACAGTTTCAAAGATAACCTCGATCTCTTTTTATTGCCAAAAATTAAAATTGTCATTTATGAGATGATTATGACACAACCATATCAAACCTAAAAATCTAATTTTTTTAACTTTGAGAAATCAAAAATACCACATAGATTCTAAGTGCTCTATGTTAACTGAAGTGTATATGTAAAAGTAAAATACAATTAAGCTTTAAAACGTGGAATATACATTTTGTGTAAGCATTATGTTCTTGGGAATGTAATCTACAGAATATTTTTTACTAAAACTTCAAAACCTTGTTACTTGCACATGAAAAATCATAAAAAATATCTAGGTACAACTGTACAAAGAAACTGACACCAATACGCATACTTCCAGAGACTGCTTCGACAGTTGTGTGTTTTGGTAAAGGTTTTGAAAGTATGCATATTTTAAAAGTAATTGGGTTTTTAAATAGTGGAGTCTTAGACTATCAGATATGTATTACATTTTTCTTCTTCTTCTTCTTAAAAACATGTCAATATAATGCAAAATGAAAATCAAGGGTATATGGCATATCATTGTCTTTAGAAGGTGGTTTCTTTCCCCCCGATAGGACAAACTAATTTAAGCCATAATCTCTTGACATTTAACCTTTAAATCCACTCTGTAAAGGGTAATCAGAATCCCTGCTGAAGTGCAATCACTATGCTGAAGAACTCAGAAACAGTATGAGTAGATTTCACACAATTACTAACCTCCTAAGAATGTACACTGTTATCAGTTAGGAAACAATTGTGCGAAAGTCTTTTTTTTTTTTTCCTTTTTAACTTGTGTAGGTGGAATAACAAGTTTCTGATCTAAAACAAGTAACGCATTGCTTCTAGAAAGGTGACAACATGTAAGGCAGTTCAAAGAATGCTAACCAAACAAAATGCAGTTATTGGATTATCTTGCTATTCAAATCAGCTTAACTTGTTAGAACGCATCGCTCTTAGATCTGTACAGCACTCCATTTTACACAGAGTAACCCCGCTCTTGATTTATCTGTTCTAAAGTGCCAGTATTATTTACACTTTTTTTTTTTTTTTTTTTTTTTTTTAGCCAAAAGTCTGGCCAGTTGTGGCATCTGGTGAAGATGTCATCCCAGCTCTGCTATCATTTACATTCACCAAGGGGAATTCTGAAAATTCAGCACTTGTCCCTGGTCCCCGAAGGTTCACCTGTCCATTGGCAGTGCTAAACTGAGTAGCTATTCCAGCTCTAGATCCATGATATGGAGCACGGAAGGGCTGTTCAAATGAACTCATTTGGTAAGCTTGGTGGACAGGCTGAGCCTCAGCTTTCTTCTGAGAAGTCACTTGATCCAAAAAGTCCTGTGTGGATGTGGCAGAAGCATGGTTTGTCTCATCACCTGAAAAGGGAAATGAGTGCTGTGAATCACCAACTATTAGTCCAAAGTGGGACTTATCTGGAGTTGTTCTTAGTGGAGAATTCATTCCTGATCGAAAGCTATTGAGAGGCATGGCTGCATAGACTTGTTTGTCTATAGAAGAGAACGCTGGCTGATTTGGAAGGGTCTGGTTATCAGTCACAAAGTTAAGGCTTGGGCTATTCAAATAGGCATCGTTTTGGCTAGTTCTGTCCAAAGCCTGTTGCAGAAACTTGGAGTATTCTTGCAACATGTTGGCTTTATCTGACGAGGATGCTTGGGAGCTCGATCCAACATTCTCTGACGGGGTGACCTCGGGTACTTCTGAAGAATTTATTGATATGCTAGATGTCACTTCAGTGTCTGCAACACTGAAGGAGATCTCGTGCTGTCCGTTAGCTTTATGAGAATAATGATCCAGCAGAGTTTGCAGTACCTCATCTGGAATAACATTTTTGTCGTGATTACTCTTAATCTCCACGTTCAGTGCCTGGGAATCTAGTATGGACGCCGTGGTGCTTTCATCAATAACACTTGCCACAGCTGCCTGTGTTACAGAAGGCTGGGAAGCAATGGTGCCCACATTCAGCGCATACTCTCTGCTGTTGTTACTTGCTGCCTGAAGATACCGCTTCTTCTTCAGAAACTGCATGGCGTCATCATAATTAGTACTACTGTGCACAGGTTTACTGGGCCCCTCTTGCAAGTTATCAACCTGGTCAATGTCAGCATTGCCTTCCGAGTCCAGTAAAGCTTGTTTATCCACAAGCTCGAATGCATACTTTGAAACTTTGCTCTCTTCATATGTAGATAAAGGTGAAATGGTTTGATTTTGCTCCAGTGGCTGTTTCAGGCTTCTCTTACTATTGATTTTTTTGAGAACCAACTTCGGTGGGTGTATTTCTCCTGATGCATCTTCGAGATGAGACCCCCCTACTGAAGAGTGTGGCATTTCGACAGCATATTCTGCTACCATATACTCATCTTTTACTTTAGTACTTGAAGAATAAAGAGGCAAGTAATCATTTTTGTCTTTCTTCAGGTCAGACTTGTCCAAAGCACTCTCTTTGTCCATTCCAGATGATTTCTTTTCAGCTTTCTGCCTTTTCTTTTTTGGCAGTGAGTTATCTTTTGGTGATGTAGAAAAGCCAGAATCCTCCTCCGATGTCAGAAGGCCACCTTTGATGGCACATCTGTTTAATTTTTTGTCATGATTTTCATGGCACATACGTTTATGTTTCAATACACGATCTGTTCTGGAAAAATACTGTCGAATTCAGAGGTTGTAAGTAGGTTTTGGGTTTTGTTTGTATTTTCAGTCAACAAAAGAGAGAAAGAAAACAATTAATGTAAGTATAATAATATAAGTAATTCCAAATAAATTCACTGTGTTGGTTTTCTATTATAAGCCTGATTGGCAAGAGTTTAAAAGCTCTTCAAATAATTCTAGTAGTAACATCTTCTAATTTAATTTTTTAGAATTATTTTATAGCTTAACTATGACAGAAGAATTTCAAGCTACCTCTCTTACCTGTAAACAGTATTCACACTGGTAAGGTTTTTCTCCACTATGAGTTCTCTTATGCCTTTCCATATGATATTTTTGTATGAATCTCATACCACATTCATCACAGCGAAATGGTTTTTCACCTAGTACATGATATAGAAAATTTAAAACAAAATAAATACTGTAAAATAATGAAATGCTTTGCCATAAGAACCGTTAAAACACATAAATGGCTTAACAGCTGTGAGAATTTATTTTTTAAATGATAGAAGGCATTCACCACACTAAAGGTAGGAAGAAGGTACACTCATTTTTCTCCTTCTGTTATATGGGTACATAGTCTTTCTATGGAGACCAGAAATACCAGGAACTTATGTATGGACATTTGAAAAAAATGTTATCCATCCACAGTCCAACACAATTCTTGAGTACGGCTTTTTAATTATTACCTTCTCTCCAAAAACATGGTTAAATTAAATCTGAATTCTACAAAAATATTCTTTAAAATCTAATTTATTAAAACAAATAACAAATAAAAAAGTGTTGAGAGACTAAATTTCAAAAGTACAGTTTGTTTGTATTGATTTTTTTTCAACTCAAACCAGCATTTTTCATTTAATCTGGGGAGTGATTTACAAACAATGTTATTAATTGAACACATGACTGTTCCACTTCCTCCAATACATTAAGGACTTCTTACCTATAAGGAACATTACTATGGAGCTCTCAATGGTTTTTACACACTCTAACTACACAGGAAGGTGTGCCAAGAAGTTATCTTACATAATGCATGTTCACAAAACTGGTTTACCTATCACATATTCAACAAAATTTTACTGAATACTGCTCCTCTGCCCACAGTAACCCTGTTGTAAAGGTTAAAAGTACACTTGTCTTCAAAGAATTTATTATAGCATAATTGGGAAAACAAGATACATATAAAATGACAACTCACAAAGCTATGTCTAACACTGGTTCACTTTTTAACAATATATCCTACAATTTCCCTTCTTTTTTTTCTTCAGCCTAACTAAATTACCTATATATCATACTTTTGCACTTTTTCCTTGATCCATGGGGCTCCTTCAGTCAGGAATGCCCATTTCTTTTTGGTACTGGGGATTGAACTTGTGAGCTTGTGCTTGCAAGGCAGGGGCCAGCACCACTGAGCTAAATCCCCAGCCAATAAACGCCCATTTCTGTCTGAGTGTTCACACATCTCATTCCCTTTAAAAATCTATTTCCTTTAGGACAATTGGCCCTCTTTTCTTGGAATTTCCAAAGAACTCCATCTGTAGGTCTCTTAAGGCACTGGTTACTTTCAACTCAGTAATTATTTTATGCATTTTTATTCTTTACCTGTTTATATTTCCTTATATCAGAATCTAGACCTAAATTATATTTAAGTAACTATGCAATTTTCAAGTGCTAAGTGAATTGTACAGGTGATTATTACAGTGGATTATTAGTGAGAAAATGTTACTATGAGCCGTTTTGATTTGGAAAAGCTTCTTAGAAGTGTTGAATATAAATTGAATAGTACATGAAAGATTAAAGGCAAGGGAAATATACGCTGGGGAGAAACAAAAGAGCAACTAAATGTCTGGACACTATCAGATGTCCAGGAGAAATGGTGTCTAAACTGAGAGTTTAATTTGACCACAAGTAAATTATTTAAAACTTTTCAGACTGTAACTTCTTTAAGTGTGCAGGGTTACCCAACTTTAGGACACAAGGGACTTCCCAGTGGCTTTCTGACTGTTCTTGTGGGTTCCACAGAGGCCCACCAGTGCTGCTGCTGGTTTAGCTGAAGGTTCAAGGCTTGTCAAACAAAATTCAGTGAGCTCAATTCAACAGGATATACCAGGGCTCCAAGTAGGAGTTTCAGCGTTTTCAGGCTAGGAAGCCAGCATAAAACAGCAGCTCTGGACTAACCTGTTCCCTTTACAGAAATACTGTACTGAAGCCCAGAAAAGGTAAGGCACGTGTCCAACGAGTGAAGAATGAGGACGGAAGCTGCAGGAGAAGGCTACTGCCCAAGGAAGTATGGGAGTGAATGAGACGAGGAGACGGAGGTGCGAAGCATCCACATAAGAGTGAGCACTGCTAGGGACCAGGAGACGGAACTGTTTGAAGGCATAGGAATGAGTGGACAAGAAAAACAGCATGAATACCAAACTACAACTGAAATGGAGTTATTATAGAGAATAATCAAGATGAGAAGAGATGGAGGGTACAGATACTGTCAAGAGAGAGGAAGTGAGGATATGTATACAGTCTGAAATAGAGAAGTAAGGTCAGAAGTTAAAGTTGTTTATCAAAGAGGAGAAAGGGGAAAATGAGTGGGCTGACTAGAATTCAGTTAATTCTACATGAAATCCTTCACGAGTTAGAAGACTTTATATTGTCAAAATGAGAATATTCCCCAAACCACTCTACAGATTTAAAGTAGAAATGGACAACACTGTCCTAAAATTCATATGCAAAATAGCCAAAACAATTTTGGGGGGAAAGGGAGGATTCATACTTCCAGACTTCAAAACTTACTACAAAACTATAGTAAAATAATGTGAGAAAGGCTTAAGGAAACCAATATATATCAAGGAATGCAAATGAGAGCCCAGAGATAAACCCTTCCTTTTGTCAGGTGTGGTAGCACGTGCCTATAATCTCAACACTTGGGAGACACAAGCAGGAGGATCATGAGTCTGAGGCCAGCCTGGGCTACTTAGTGAGCCCCACTCTCAAACAAAACAGAACAGAAAAAAATCAAAGCACTTCCATTTATGGTTCAGTGGTTTTCTAAAAAGGTGCCAAAGCAATTCAGTAGGGAAAGAATAATCATTTCAATAAATGGTGCTTGTACAATTTGATACCCACATGCAAAAGAATAGAGTTGGACCCCTGCCTAACATCATAAGCAAAACTTAACTCAAAATGGATCGATCATAGGCCTAAATGTAAGAACTAAAGCCATAAAAATTATACCATAAAGTGTAAAGTGCCTGTCATCCCAGGTACCTGGGAGACTGAGACAAGAGATCACAAATTTGAGGCCAGCCCAGGCAACTTAGCAAGACATTGTCAGGGAACAAAAACAAAAAAACAAAAAAAAAGGAAAAATGGCTGAGGATGTAGCTCAGTAGTAGAACATTCCTGGGTTCAAATGCCAGAACTGGGAACCAATCAATAATAAATAAAATAAAAACTAAAAGCTACAGGGCTGTAGTTGGGCAATGGTTTCTTACATGACACCAAAAGCACAAACAAACAAAATAAACGAATATCAAAATGAAGAATTACCACATGGCTCAGCAATCCCATTCCTAGGTATGTCAAAAGAAATAAAAACAGGGACTCGGAAACAGAAATAAACAAACACAGGGACTTCAAAGAGACATCTGAATGCCAACATCTATCACAGCACCATTCCCAATACCCAAGAGGTAGAAGCAGCCCAAGTATTCATCTACAGATTAGGAAGGAAAATGCTATAAACAATGGACCATTTTCCAGCCATAAATGTAAACATAATGCTGATTCATAGTACTCAGAACAAGGATAAAGCCTGAAGATATTACGCAAGGTGAAAGAAGCCATGAAATAGGACACATATGGCATGAGTCTGCTCTCATGAAGGATCTAGATTAGGGAGACTTAGCAACATGGAAGACAGTGGTCACTTAGACTAAGGGAGGGAGGCAAGGGAGACAGTGCTTAATGGTTACAGAATTTAGTAACACAACCTTGTATATCTGCTAATGCCACTACACTGTATGCTTAAAACAGATTAAAATAACAAACTTAATAAAATGAACCCATGGATAAAGTATTTACAAATCATGGAACACATATTGAGAATATTAAAAACCCCTCATAACTCAAGAGTACAAAGTTGAGTACAAAGTTAATCTAGTTTAAAAATGGACAATGGGTCTGCAGGGACAATTCTTCAAGACGGATATATGAAGGACACGTGAAAAGGTGCTCAACAGTTACTAGGAAAATCAAAACCAACTACCTCAAACCTAGGATGGCTAAAATATACAAGTGTTAGCATTAGACGCAGAGATACTGAAACCCTCACTGATGGCTGTCAGGATTATAAAATAGTGCAGCTGACATGAAAACTAGTTTTGCAATCATCAAAATGTTAAACACAAACTGGGTGTGGTAGCTCATGCCTGTAATAACAGCACTTGAAAGGCTGAGGCGGAATGATCAAGTCTGAGGCAGGTCCCTGGCTACACAGTGAATTAAACGTCAGCCTGAACTACACAGTGACCCTGTCTCACTCCACCCTCTGAAGTTACACCTCTCGTTACCACAGGATCCTACTCCTAGACATACACAGTACTGAAGGGGGTTAAAAATTCAAGTCCTCATAAGAATTTTGGGACAATGCATTAATAACAACATTACTCACACAAAAACAGAAGCAACCCAAACATATATCAACCTATGAAAGAAGACATGGTATATCCATAGATTATTCAGCTCTGAAAGGAGTAAAGTACATACTGCAGCATGACCAGAACAGGCAAATCCTCAGTAACACAAGATATGATTAATGGTTGTTCGGGGCTGGGAGGAAGTGGGCAATGGGGAATGACTACCAATGGTTAATGGTTTTCTTCTTGGGATGAAGAAAATATTTACAACATGAGAGAGTAGCATAACTTTATGAACATGCTAAAAGCCAGTGAGTTATATATTTTAAGTGGGTATGTTTTCTGATGCTGTGAATTTTATCTCAGGGAGGTAGGTTGTGATTTAAAAATGTTTCATAACAACACAACTGACACCATGCAAAGTGGAGGAGAAATGGTTTCTTTCCTCAAGGAACTCAATATTAATTACAAGATAAATTAACTGGAGAAAATCCATGTTTAAATTATCTATATCTTAACATATGATCTAAAATTAACATCTTACTTAACTAGAAGTGTCACTAAGAAATTTTCTTCAACAAGAAAAGAAAAAGAAAGTACCAGGAACTTTTAAATGCCGTAAAAGCAATTAGTACAAATGTTCCTCTGCTGCTAAAAACAACCTCTCAAAGCCCCAATAAACTGAATACACACTGAGCATCCCAAAACCCAAACTGCGAAATCTGAACTGCCCCAACATCTGAAATTTTTTG